GATCTTCGCTCGCATCCTGCTCAACCGCCTCAATAACCATCTGCAACAGGGCCTTCTGCCGGAAAGCCAATGCGGCTTCCGTCGTCATCGTGGGACCACGGATATGATCTTCGCAGCCCGCCCACTCCAGGAGAAGTGCCAGGAGATGCGAACCCACCTGTACTCTACCTTCGTGGACCTGACGAAAGCCTTCGACACGGTGAATCGTGAAGGACTGTGGAAGATCATGCAGAAATTCGGCTGTCCGGAGCGATTCACACAGACGGTGCGTCAGCTGCACGACGGTATGATGGCGCGAGTCACGGACAACGGAGCTGTCTCAGAGGCATTCGTAGTGACCAACGGAGTGAAGCAGGGATGCGTGCTGGCACCAACCCTCTTCAGTCTTATGTTCTCTGCCATGCTGATGGACGCCTACCGCGACGAACGCCCTAGAATCCGCATCGCCTACAGAACGGACGGTCATCTCCTGAATCAACGGCGCATGAACTTCCAATCGCGCGTATCCACAACTACCGTGCACGAACTCCTCTTCGACGACGACTGCGCCCTGAACACCACCTCGGAAGAGGAGATGCAACGGAGCATGGACCTATTCTCCGCCGCCTGCGAGAACTTTGGGCTGGTCATTAACACGCAGAAGACGGTGGTGATGCACCAACCGCCGCCCAACTCAGCCACAGCACCCAACGCGCCGCCGCAAATCAGCGTGAACGGAAATCAACTGCAAGTGGTAGAGAACTTCCCGTATCTGGGCAGTACCCTCTCCCACAACACCAAGATTGATGACGAAGTCGTCAACAGGATCTCGAAAGCCAGTCAAGCCTTCGGTCGTCTCCGAAACACAGTTTGGAACCGCCACGGTCTCCAACTGAGCACGAAGCTGAAGATGTACAAGGCCGTTATCCTGCCGACGTTACTGTACGGAGCAGAGACATGGACGGTTTACACGAGACAGGCACGCCGACTGAATCACTTCCACCTCAGTTGTCTCCGTCGCATCCTGAGGCTGAACTGGCAGGATCGAATCCCCGACACGGAAGTACTGGAACGAACGGGAATCCTCAGCATCAACGCCATACTGAGGCAAATGCAGCTGCGCTGGAGCGGCCACCTGGTTTGCATGGATGACGAGCGTCTACCCAAACGACTCTTCTACGGAGACGTCGCGACGGGTTCTCGTCGTCAAGGAGGCCAAATTCGCCGTTACAAGGATACTCTGAAGTCCTCCCTGAAGCGCCTGCAAATCAACCCGACCAACTGGGAAGAGCTCGCTCGCGATCGTCCGACATGGAGGAGAACAGTGAAGACGGGCGCTGCTTTCTACGAAGAAAACCGAATCGCCGCCGCCAAAGCGAAACGCGAAGCCCGCAAATCACAACTTCGCCCAGTCCGCAACGCCGCCGCAAAACCTCTCCCTACGTGTCCTCGATGTCAACGGACATTCCGGGCACGAATCGGACTTGTCGGACATCTCCGAACCAACTGCACCTCTCAAACTGCTCCAGCCATCGTCCCCTCGCCCGCCTCTTCCTCGTCCTCTCTTCCGCCAACTAACTCTGACACTCCTTCTGCACCACCACTTCCATCCTCCTCCTTCTCCTCCACTGCCCCAGCGGAGGCCGTTCAGGCTGCCGTCTCACACATCGCCGATCACGTCACAACAACCACAACCACCCCCACCCCTCCAGATTCCAGTGATGAGGATCAGGACTACACCTGCCCTCACTGCGACCGCACCTTCACCTCTCGAATCGGCCTGGTCGGTCACTTGCGAATCCATCGCACAGAGACTGGCGAACCAGTGCCTGGAGCACCAACCTACACCCACCGCACTCGCCTCCACTGCCCACACTGCCCTCGCACCTTCACGCATCGCATGGGTCTATTCGGCCACATGCGCATCCACGACGACCTACGGTAGACAACCGCCGGTCACATCACACATTCCCGCACTCCCTACCTCCTAACACCATCACCCCACCAGACATCAACCCTCACTCACCTCATGCACTCAACTGCCGCCTCCCACGCAAGTGGGATGTGTGTATCTCGACTCGGTCTCCATGCGGCTTCGGCTGCATGGGTGACTTGTGTCCGAGACTATCCCGACACGTCAAGCGTCGTGGATAGGAAGGTTGCTGATTGAGGCCCGCTCTCGGTTCACGCAGTTCGTCACGTTGTGTATGTGTGTTGTGTGTAGTGGCGGACTGGTGGGCTGGGGACGGGCTGCAACAGCACCTTCCACGGCACTCTCACGCAAGTGAGAGACACGCCGTTCAACCCCCGTTGTGTGAAATCCTGGTGTTTGTGTGTATGGGGGGCCAGGTCGTGCTGTGGCGCGCGCAGGCATGGTCAGTCGACCATGTCAGCCACCGCGCCCATTCCCCACTCCAGTCTACTGACCGGCTCGGACAGTGGCTGGGGTGTGGGAATGGGAAGGGAGAGTGAGGTCGACGACTAAGCGCATTTTCCTCACTATAATTAATCTGACGCGCATGAAGCTATCACGGTGCGCTAAAAGCCGTGGCTTGGAAGGTTGCCAACTGACGGGGTACCTTGGACCTCCTCCTTAACGGGAGGCGGTCTGAGAGTCAGGCTGCAATGGCTCCTTTTTAATATGGCCTTTATGGCATTCCCACCACAGTGTGGGATCCGGGCCAGGCGTTGGCGGCACGCCCAGGTGCGGCTTCGGTCGTGCCAGCATCCAAATCTCTGTTGTGTCGGTTGAAATCCTGGTTATTGTTGTGTGGACCAGGGGGTGTGGTGGAACGCCAAGGTGAGGATCCGTCCGAACCATCCACCCGCAGCCTCCCTCGTCTCCGGTCTTCTTGACTCTGTCTTGACACCTGGCCCTGGCGGGGAGGAGGAGAGAGTGTAGGTAGATGCAGCGCAAGTCTACTGGCACTATAAACCCCTGCGCAAGTCACCGTCCCTGCTCCCACCTCTGCTGCAGATGTGGGGCACACGGTGGACATCGTCGAAATCGACGGTCGAACTTTCGTGTGTGTGTGTGTGTATGTGTGTGACCGAGGATGCCTCCAGGTGACATTCTCTCGCTCCGGCAGACAGAAGAACGTGTTCGTCAGGATGAGGCGGTGTTCTGCGCAGGTGCAGAGGAGCAGCAGGCCGTTGTCCTTGGAGCCGCGGAGACCGTGAGGACCCAGCACTCCCCTCCAGGCAGTATGGTCTGTGCCGACGCGGGCGTTGAAGTCACCAAGGACAGTCAACTTGTCGGCCTTCGACACAGTCGCCAAGAGGGCGTGCAGGTCCTCGTAGAACTTGTCTCTTGCGGCGGCGTCGGGGATGCTCATCGGCGGAGCGTAGGCGCTGATGATGGTGGCGAACTTGCCTCCTCGCCGGAGGGGCAGGCGGAGGCTCATCAGGCGATTGTTGATTCCCTGCGGCAGACAGGGCAGTCGTCCCACGATGTCGATCCGGATGGCGAAGGCGACACCCGCGTCTCGTCGCTCTGCCTTGGGTCGACCACTCCAGAAGAAGGTGTAGCCCGCACCCACCTCCTCCAGTTGGCCTTGTTCGGAGAATCGGGTCTCGCTGAGTGCGGCGATGTCCACCTTGTAGCGCGCCAGTTCTTGTGCCATTAGCGCCGTCCTCCGTTCCGGTCGGTTGCTCCTCGGATTGTCTAAAATGGAACGAACATTCCAGGCTGCCAGAGTGAGCGGGCTCACCCTGCCAGTCTGGCGACTGCGGCGACGAAAAGTAGGAGTAGGAGAAGAAGAAGAATAGGCTGGAAGAGGAAGAGAGTGATTGTTGTTGTTGTTGTTTCGGTTTTGGCTGTTTCGACCTGCCGGACTATGTCATCGTCCGGAGGCGAGATTAGCGGGACGTGCTGGTGACGAAGGCGATCGCGTGTGCTGACGGGTGGACCGATCATAGAGTCGTCATCTCGAATATGCATATTCGCCTGCAGCCTCGCAGGAGACCACAAGGTAAGCGACCCCCAGGTAAGCTGAATTTTGCTTTGTTGTCTTTGTCTGCTCACGGTCTCCATTTCAGCAATGAGCTGGCTCAACGGCTAGACAACCTTCCTATCGCTGCCGCCGCCGACGACGCCGCCGCCGCCGCCGCTGCCGAGAACGTCTCCGTGGAGAATCGCTGGTGTCAACTGCGAGACACAGTCCAGTCGACGGCGCTCGCCGTCCTCGATCGCGCTCCCCGCCAGCACCAGGACTGGTTCGACGACAACGACGCTGCCATCAGCAATCTGCTTGCCGAGAAGAACCGCCTACACAAAGCCTACGTAGATCACCCCACTGAGGACAACAAAGCTGCCTTCTACCGCAGTCGCCGACAGCTTCAGCAAC